CCCCCCCCCCCCCCCCCACCAACTGCTTCCCCTTCCCTCTCCTCCATGAAGTGGGTCAGAGGCACATGCGCTGCCTGCGTGACCCGGAAGTAGCTCTCGTTCTTCGAGCTCCTCTTCATTTCCTCTGCTGTGGCACTGCTGTCAAGGTGGCTAGGAGCTGTTACCAAGCTTGGTGCCATCTGGTCCTCCTTCCACGCGGCCTTGGACATCCTCTTTATGAGATGCCAGTGTGCTTTTCATCTGCGGGTCCCAGCCTCTCAGAAGCACCCCAGCACTTAAGGATGCCAGCCAAGGCCCCTTTCTTACTTCACTTCACTTCTGAGTTCTTCCTAGCCTCATCGATACCACACAGCTACCTCCAACCACATCGTTCTCCATCATTCACACATCGTTCTCCAGATACATTCCTTTTTGTCTTGGCTTTTTGGAGAACAATTAAAACCATCCTTACTGTCCATCAGTAACCGACACAGTCCCTCTGTTTGCACAGCCCTTCCCTGCTTGAGCTCAGGCCGTGTGGCAACTCTTAAGACCTCCTTAGCTTGTTGTATGCTGGTGGCTCACGCCTGGAATCTGAGCAACTCAGGAGGCTGAGATCCAAGGATTGCAGTTCAAAGCCAACCTGGGTAGGAAAGTCCATAAGATTCTGGTATCAGTCAACACAGAAGTGGAGCTGTGCTCAAGTGCTAGAGCACCAGCAAAACTAGAGCAAAACAAACTCAGGAATAACGTCCAAATTCAAACTGAGTTCACATCCCAAGACCCTCATCAAAACAGAACAAAACAAACAAATAACTCCAAAGAGCTCCTCAACCACACTGGCCAAAGGACCTGAAGTTCATTGTGTGCTCAGTGGCCTTCTCCATGCGTGGGCCCTTGAAGCTCTCTGACACCATCCCCAATAGCAGTGTCCGGTTTTATCTGTCAGCCTCGGCAGCAGTGCCCTTCCTTGCCAGTTCTCCAGCTGACCAGCCAGGCCAGCAGGCCGCCTGCTCCCTGCTCGCTCACAAGTGCCATGGGCGGCCATCTTGGCCGAGGCCAGAGAGCATAGTTTCTGGACACACGTTTGCTCTCAGTTCCCCAGAGAGGGTCTGGATGGGCTCGACTCCATGGCTCACTCCTGCGCCTTTCCTCGGCCCTTCTCTGGTCTTTTCCCTTGTAGAAAATCTTCTCGCTAGAGATTCTTATCACCATCTTTGAAAAAATAAAATTATACAGAAATTCCTATCTGAAGGCTTGATCTTGTCCCCAAAATTCAGGAGTCCCTTTTGGTTGCTTAGAACCTTTCTTTGAATGTATTTTAATAAACCCTATTCCTTTCCCACATGGACTGGCTTCCAAAAGCCCTTCAAGCATGGTGACTAGAAAACTTGCTCTTGGGAAGGGTGGCAGACCTCACAGAGAAGCCATTCCAGCTGCCCCAGGCCCGAAGCTGCTGTCAGCACCCAGGGCAGGGAGGGTGGGTGTACAGAGGAACTGGCAAACACCTCCTCCTTGATTAGAGCAAGGTTCTGACAACCTCTCAAGTGTGGGATGGAACGTAGGACGTGCAGGGTTTGAGGGGGGCACCACACGAGGGAACCCCTGGTGCCCATGTGTCTTCTTTTCTACTGTTTCAGGAGACTTGATTATGCGGCGACACACCACAGCGATGGCTGAGTTCTACCGAGATCTCCTGGCCCAGTCCCTGTACAGCCGTCTGTTCGGCTTTCTCGTAAACAGCATAAACGGCTGTCTCCAGAGTCCAGACAATCATACAAGGTAGGTATCAAGGATGCTGGTCCACCATGTCCTGTGCTGGGAGAGGCTTGCGTTCCAGAAGGGTCTGACCCTAAGCTGCTTTCAAGCATTCCTTTAGAGCAAGGCCATTTGACTTACTCCAAGGCGTAGTGAGGGTTCCTTAGAGATGAAAGCTGACACTGGCCTCCCTACGCACACGGATGTGTGGACAAAACCTCTTCTCAAGAGCACAGAGGCAAATCTGCTCTCATTGGAATGAAGGCACATGGTCTTTGCGCAGCACGAGGTAGAAAGATTAGATACACCTTTGTAGATGGTCTACAGCCCTGGAGTTTGCTGAGTTTCCCACGGATGTCTTTCTCAGAGCCAATTTGATGATGTGTGTAATTCTTCCCCCTTGCTTCTCTACTTATTTCACGGATTACTTGACAAAGGGTCTCTGTGGTGATCATTTGGGCTCCTACCCTTAATCATCCTTAAGCATCAGCTTCTTCAGGGCTATTTGATCATTTGGAAATTACAGAATTCCATGGCATCTTGTCAATGGAAAACTTTATTATTCTTGTCAGTCCTAATGACCTTGAGCAGACAATTGAGAGCAAAATTGTCTCCAGAAGGCTTCTCATATCCGCGTGTCTTTGAATGAAACCTGCTGAGAGTTCCTTTGTTGTCTGCAGAGAGATTCTTTATTGAATTCCTGAAAATTGTTACCTTCAGAGGTTTCTTAGAAAACATTAAAATCAACATACATTAATAGGAAAGTTCTTATGTAGACATAGACCTCTCAGAAGGCTTTTAAATACAAGAGGATATTAAAATTCTTCTTAAATGCTCACATATAAAATCCCAGTGCAGATTCATTAGCATAATCAGTACGTTCTATGATTTGCAGATAGTTGTACAATCTGTATTCTACAGAAATCACTTAGTATTTGTGATGATGAAGCCTCTGCATGTTGCAATAGCAAAATACAAATTTCTTATTATCAATTAAGTTTTGATTTTTCCCCTAATTATGATGGATGCTCATTACTAGTGTTAAGTGTATCAAATTAACCTTGTTTAATATGTAAAATTAATATATAAACCCAACTGCACATCAAAATTTTTAGGAAGTTTCTACTTGACAAGTTTCCACTTAAATCTTCTGAAATCTGGATTGGAAATCTTTATATATGGTCACGATTTTTGGCTATGCACATACAGAGAGAAAGAGAGAATAACAAACAGAAACAGAAGAAACACACTTTTGGCTTCAGTGAGTGTATTACCACAGGGTTAGAATGTAAATGTATGATGGGGTCTTTTCCTTTCATTTCTTAATGTATTTTTCCATTTAAAGAAGAAACAGAAATATATAGAAATACCATGTGATTGGTGGTTTCCTGGGGCTTGTGAAGGAGATAATAGGGAGGGATTGTTGAGGGCTACAAATCGCCCTGTCAGTCCGAAATGTCACTCTGAAATGTTCTTTGTTTCTTTTTTCTTTCCTCCCTCCCTCTTCTTCTTTCCTATCTCCTCCTCTCTGACCTCCCTCCTTTTTCATACAATTCTTTACTAAGCAAATGAAGAAAGAGAAGGATTAGTTGGGGATCAGAAGTAAATTGGGTTACTCAAAGCTCAACTTCTAAGAGACAGCACTTCACTTGACTTTTAACTCCCATTTCTCTCCTGTTCTTTCCAGGCTTCACCCAAACTTGAATTTAAATCCTCTGCAAAGGGGAAGAATGGTTATGTTTGCTGAACTTCTCACTTACTGAAGTTCAAGGAAAGCTTAAGATTTTACAGCGTCTCACAGACCTATTCCCTAATTCAAAGACATGTCTCAAACTCTTGTTTCCCAGTGCCTTTCTCCCACTGTTTTTTTTCTTCTTGTTTTTGTTGTTGTTGTAGGGCTTGAACTCTGGGCCTGGGCACTGTCCCTCAGCTCTTCAGCTCAAGGCGAGCGCTCTACCACTTAAACCACAACTCCACTTCCGTTTTTTTTTTTTTGCTAATGTGGTGCTGAGGAATCAAGCACTCTACCACTGAGCCACCTTCCCAACCCCCTCTTTCACTTTTTAATATTTCAGAATCCTGTGAGAGAAGCTGATGATTTAAAAATGATCTTCCTCGCCATGGTTAAAGTTGTTGATCACATTGAAATCAGTGATAAAAATATTTTCTATACTATATTTTTCTTGGTGACTTTCTCTCTCCTCATGTAAATTAAGATATACTCTAGCACGTCATGAAGTAAAAGCAGTGAAACAGAAGCAGGCAGAATGTGTGCTCTTAGTGTTCTCCTGGCTTATCGCAAAAGAGTTCCAGTATTGCTAATGCGATGCATTTAAAATTGTTTCACTCTCTGCTTTCCTGTCATCTCACATTGGTGAGGTGTTACTGTGTAAATATTTTCTCCATGTTGGCCTGGCCTGCCGTCATGTGTGAGCATCTTCGGGGTGGTTGTCTGCTGTGGCTCTGTGTCCTGGATATTCCAGTGTGGGGTCAAGGTGGGGCCAAGGCCAGCAGCTTCCCCCCAAGGGCCTCTCTTAGTGGTCGGGCTGCGTCAAAACTCCAGACATGCCTGAAACTTCATTGTCAGGCATAGTTCAAAATGATGTGGTCCAAATAGGTAAAACAAGAGAGAATAACTGTAGCAAGAAGAGCACCAAAACACCAACATGCCTTTCATTCGTTTACAAGTTTGCTGTTCTCCAAGTGTAGTGCGTATAAAGTACTGTAGTAGACACACTGTGAAATTTCCCCCAATGACCCCGGTCACTGTTCAAGCGCGGATGACTAGGAGGTGGCGAAGCTGTGACCCCGGCTGCTCCCTCAGCTCTCTCCTCCAGCGCTCTCTCCTGAGCAAAGTCGCATGGGGAAGCAGACTCCCAGCTGCTTAACTCTTGGTGGAGACCTAGCTTCCCCTAACGTATAATTGTCTGCCTCTGAAAGGGTGCCGTGTGTCCCTTAGCTCTGTACAGAGCTCACTTTTTTTAACCTTCGGCAACACAAGCATGGCTCCCATGCTCCTCACCTCCTCCCCACCCAGGAAAAAGGTTATGTGAGTCGACAGACTTCCTTGGGTCCTGGAAAATTTCCCCTGCAATTTTTACCCAATGGCCCTGGTGTTCTCTAATGCTCTGACTGAGGTACATGGTGCATGCCCGCCATGCTTTCAGTGGACACAGCTTCCCACAACAAGTAGTGAAGTGGGAGAAGAGAACACGTCTCCAGCGCATCAGCTGCAGGTCCTGTGAGGACATGAGGGAAGTATATTTGGCCACAGCGTCTGACGGCCCTGGAGGCAATGCTAGAATACAAATAAAGGCCAGCAATCCACACTAATAAGAATGCGCCGAGCAATTTAATAATTCTGCAGGAAAAAAATTGCTCTTCTTCAGTAATTGAGGCTGGCTAGACTTCCCAAATTAGATGAACATATTTCTTGCCATGCAAAAGAAAAATAATTATAGCCTTAAAGAATTCTGCAGGCTAATATAAAACAGTAACCCCATCCACAGATTTAAGGCCAGCGTTCTACGTGAGGGCTGACTTTCTCTTCTATGACTCTCTGGAAGGAAAGTGAATGATCGAGAGGACTGAGTCACATTGGTTTAAGTTCTCCTTTCCTGATACTCTGGCTTGATCTTACTCTACTACAGACTAGCTCATTTAGCAATAGTGTGGAAATTTTAAATAAAATAGTTTGGCTGTTTGCGTCAAATAACAGTCAGTTTTCTCTGATGTCCACTTGTCTTGGATTGATGCAGTCAGTAGTAGCACGTATTTATAGTGTTGCTTTATGTCAAGGGACCAAATAGGTATTTCAACAAAAGGCTTGTACACATACACACACACACACACACACACACACACACACACACACACGCATACACACAAACACATACACACAGTTTCCTTATGAATCTGGTGTCTTAGTCTCCTTATCCTATTGAAAATCCCCATAGCTAGGTTGTAATCACTTCTTAATTTAACAATTATAGAAATTCATAAACTCTGAGTTAATGTCTCGGGTGTTGTTGATAGTCTCCTTGCTGTTCCTGAGGCTTTTAGAGCAAACTGCTTTAGGAATAATTTTGAGGCTGACTTTTTTTCACTGAGGAATTCTCTTTATTTTTTAATATGAGCTAAAACTGTAGTGATTTTGAGGACATGCAGTGAAACACTAACACACAAGTGTAGTAAGCGTGTTAGTTCACTTTTGGTAGATTCCTCTCTGGTGAATCAGTATTTGGGAAGCAGACAGTGGAGGTGTGGTGCAGCGTGTGCATGTGTGCGTGTGTGTGTGTGTGTGTGTGTGTGTGTGTGTGTAGGTGACCCATGGAAACTCCTGCAGGAGAGCTGAGTCTTGTAGTGTGTGTGTGTGCAGAATGACAGCTCTCAGGTCTCTTCAAGGATCCTTTGTACTTCTAGTGATTTGTCTTAGCTCTCTGCTCGGGCACCTACCTTTACTGTTGCCCCCACCACCTCCCACCTCCTGTGTGAAGGCTTGGTACACTTACTGTGAACCAGATCCAAGGGGAACGAACGCCAGCCAGCACTCCAGGTTTCAAGATTGTGTGGGTTTCTAATCAATGTGTAATCAATAGTCAGCAGTGTACTCTTTGACTGTTACTTGATGCGAACAGCAAAACTATTTTACTTATTAATAAATGAGCTAGTCTGTAGTAGAATGAGATCAAGCCAGAATATCAGGAAAGGAGAACTTAAACCAATGTAACTCAGTCCTTGTGTGTGTGTGCATGCATGTGTGTGTGTGCATGTGCACATGCATAATAATTATTTACCTTCAAGTGATTTCACCAAGTGGTTTTCTCTTCTTCTGCATGGTTGTTTCAAAGGCTAGAATCTAGCCATCCACTTAGTAAATTAGTCTTACAAAAGTAGACTGGCCTAAAAGGTGCATGAAACCAAGTTAACCTGGGCAGGTTAGCTCAGTCAAAACTTTCAAGACTGGAAAATACTCGATGTGCAGGTCTGAAAATAGAATAATGAAACTCATGAAAAATTGATGG